GCAGCCCCAAAATCTTTTCTGCATGCTGCACACAGCTTCTTTCTGTATACATCATATGCAAGTTGTCTCAGGCACTTCTTGCACTTCAAGCCTAAGGTTGCTCATAGAAAAGCTTATCACACAGCAGGATAGCTCAYGGAATGGACTATTTCACTTGGACATACCTACAAGAATTATCTAGTCCAACTGCCTGAACAACCCAGAGCTGAACAATTCTAAAGTGTGTGTTTRACAGAATTGTCCAAATCCCTCTTAAACACAGATACACACAGGGCATTGACCAGCTCTCATGGAARCCTGTTCCTATGTCTGCCCATCCTAAACGAAAAAACTGAAAAGTGTGCAGTCTGAACCTGCTCTGGTGCAGCTCTGAACCGTTCCCAGACACTCCCCTCTCACTGGATACCAGGGAGTAGATCTCAGCACCTTCCTCTCCACTTCCCTCCTCAGAAAGCAGCAGAGAGTAATGGGGTCTCTCCTCAACCTCCTCTTCTCCTAGCTCTGAGACAAGCTCAGAGTCCTTAGCTGTCCCACACAGGGCAAGCSTACTTGAACCTTTGTACTTGAAGCTTTGGGAGGTTGACTCTGGCTGGACACTAGGTGCCACCAAAGCTGTTCTGTCACTCCCTYCCTCAGAGGGACAGAGAAGAGAAAATAYAATGAAAGRCTCAAGGGCTGGAATATGAGCAGGGAGAGACCTCTAAGCAATAACTGTAACAGGCAGAAYGGACTGAACTTGGAAAAAAAAATTAATTTGTTACCAATCAAACCAAAGTAGGGTAATGAGAAAATAAAAACTAAGTCTCAGAACATCTCAGCTCCCTTCTCTCTAAGCAGCAGCTTTTTTCYCTTTTTGAACATGTTATCCCCAGAGGCACTACCACCTCTGCTGACAGGCGCAGCCTTGGCCAGAGGTGGGTCCATCTGGGAGCTGGCCAGTGTTGGCTTCACCGGACATGGGGGGAGCTTCCAGAAGCTTCTGACAAAAGCAACCCCTGTAGTCCCCTGCTACCAAAACCCTGCCACACAAAGGCAATACAACTTATGTCTCAGTAGCCTTCCAGAGATACAGACTGAGCTTCTTCTGGCAAATAGAGCAAAGGCTGCCCCCTAACAGAATGGGTTAATCAGAYCAGCAAGTTGGAGCAGTTGGATGCGAATGGATGTGCTGTCCTTCAGTGTCCTTCCRCAACTCCAAGAATTGTGCCTTAAACCTAATGGTCTGGCACAACACTGAGGCTCAGAAAGCCCAGCAAATTTGAAAAAACACAATAATGGATCAAAAGAAGATTTCAAAARTAAGATTTCAACTTATTATTATGCCTTTACAAAACGAAACATGGCTCTTTGTTTTGGCTACTTGACAAAAAATGAGCCAGGATGCTCAACTGTACGTTTCAAGATCTATGCACCATTAGTTCTTCTAGAACTGCATGCTTAGATGGATAACACTCTTGGAAACAACAGACATGTTTTAAATTTAATCTGAGGTAAGCTATGTATCAGCTTTAATTTTGAACGATGCAAAAACCTTCTGTAAAAAGCATGCAAAGTAATAGTTTTAAGAATCCTGCTTAATCTTTAAATCTTGTGGTTTCATTAGTACAGGTACAGTGCAGCAACAAATTAGATCAGTGTATTTTCTCATCTATGTCCTAAGACTGCCATTTTTTATAATTAGTATTTTATTCATTGTAAAGTACATTTTTAAAGCAATTTGATCCAGGTCCTCTTTCTGGGCATCAGTGGAAGAGACTTTTTAGCAATGCTTTTATTTCTTGAAGAGCATATTCCTTTGAAAGCCATTTTTTCTTAGAAGGGGTTTCTTTCTGTGTTTTCGGGATAGTACTAGGATGCTGTGATGTCTTATCAGCTCAGTCATATTCCACTTGTATTTTGTAATGGGAAATGAATGTATACTTACTTTTGGATTACAAAARGAAGATAATACAACACAGCTGCAATGTTTTTTTCTGCAATGATAGAAGATTTGCAATCTCAGAGATATACTACCTGTTAGGGGCATGTAACCACCTCTCATTTCTATACTGAATATGCAGGGCTTTTATGAGCCTTTCTATTTGTTTCATGCAGAATCTGCAGTGAGTTTCCTAGATTCCATGGGACTAGTGGCGAAAGTYCACTTATAAGCACTACAATTTGGACAAGTACCTCAAAATCAAAAGGGGAGAAAAATTATTTTTGCAAGATCACTTAAGGGACAAGTGGGGAGACCAGTGCATTAACCTGCTCAGTAACTTAGATGTTTATACAGTAATCCAAACAGCAGAGGGTAACACAGCCAGAATAACAATATAAGAAGGAATGAAATGTACAGGAARGACAGGTAAGGAATGCAATTCAGCAGGAATCAATGAAAAAATCCTGTACTTGAAAGGAATTATTAAGAGGACAGATATGGTATGAGCCCATCTAAATTGGCAGCAGTACAAGAAAGCAATGCAGAAAAATATYTGGATATTAGCATGTATCCCATGATAAACATATCTCAGTAGGGTGGTGAGGAGATGGAAAAAAAATAGAAAAAGGAAACTAAAACTAAAGAAAACCCTGAAATGAATACTGTCTCAGAGACACATGAAGCCATTATTTCCATTTCCTCAGTGAGGCACTCAGACGCGGTGCACTCAGATGCCAGTCTGGCATTTCAAAGAGGTACCAAATATAAAGGTTCCAGAGCAAAATGACAAACAGGATCTGAGAGCAGAAAATTCAAAGAAATGGGATTATTTAGTTTTGCAGGGAGGAAAGCAAGACAGGAAAGATRGCAGCCATTTTCAAATACAGAAGGACAACTAAAAAGCAGAGCTCCCTCATAGCCATTAGAAACGTAGAAAGGAGTAACAGATTGGTGATGTAAAGGCTGATTGAGGTTAGACAAAAGCCAAAAATAAGATMATTTAAACTCTGAAATAGATGCTTGGAGAAGCTGTGAAATCACTACCCACAGGAACTGCACAGGTTTTTCTGATTCTGCCTTCAGGCAAGGAGGACAGACTGGGTGACTGACTGCTCAAAGACCTTTCTTGCCCCCTTTCTGTGATTTCTATGACTCTGCCCTATCTCTAGCTCTCTGAAGGATGGGAATGAAATGTGACATATCTGCAACCTCACATATAATGACAAGCAAAAATGACAAGTAATACGTGTATAAGGGCAAGAGATAGAAAGCTACACAAAGGAATACACTAACTGATACAATCAATCTCACCAAATATTGCAACATAACCCACACTTTCCTCACCATCAATACCTCTAGCATTTAAAAAAATTGGATAATCCAATACAGGTCTCAATTGAGTATCAGTGCAGTCATATATATACACCTTAAGTAAACAATATATAAATGAAGAAAGGTCAGCCTTTTAAAHGGAATTTAAAATGTGTTCGAGGTTAGTGAAATTCAGGAAAACAATGTTTTAATTAATTTACTTTTCCTATCCATAACAAAATAAACTTAAAAAGCAGMGGATGTGGCAAATATACTTCTTCAATCCTTTTGGTTTCTACTTCACTTGAAAGGACTTATCGAAGAATAAATAAAGGGAATACCTGTGACAGAGTTTGAGATTTTAATGCTTTAACACAACATTGCAACCACTTCATGTTATCTAACACAATGCAACTTCCCCCTAGTGTAAGCAACACCTGAGACCTTATTGCTGTCTCACCCATTTATTATTCTATCAGTGATAAAAACTGATGGTTTCAGTTTAACTGCCTTACTTTAGTCATATGTTTCATGTATCTCACTATTATTATTTCCAGACTGATTCTCCAACATGAACAGGTCAGCATTCAAGAATCAAGAGGAACAAAAGGATTCTACTAATCCCCCACAGCCACATCCCTTTTCCTAAATGAGAACAATACAGATTACATATACTCCACATCTGTAATATAAATGTACCTAAAGACCTGACACAGACTCCAGTTAACTTTGTTAAACATCAAATAAGAAATGCCTCTGTCATAAAGATTTTAAACTATGAGAATAACCGCATTAAAAAAATTGCTTTGAATAAGTTACTACCAAACTTGATCACATAAAAAAGGAAACTATAATCTTTATTTTCAATTAAAATTAGGGTTGTGTGTTTTAAAGTACATTTCATCCAGGCATTTTAAAAATTGGTTATTCTTTCCATGCTGAAACTTTTTATTCTTTTCATTATAAAATAAGAACATGCTTCATGTTCAAACTACAGCATGAAATAAGTTACAGCTAGAACATTTGCAACTTATCTTTTTGTCTTTTAGAGCTATTTAAGAATATGTTCTTATTAAAACTTCTCATTGTATTACTTAAAACAAAAATTATTTAGCGTTAAAACTGAACTATTCTTTTTAATATCTTAGAGCTACTAATTAATGCTCATGATAGTTAGAGAATGGAAGAAGGTACTATTATCCTAGTCTTATCCAGAGGTAAAACTGAGATAAAAAAGCTTAGCCACTTGCCCAGTGTCACATCATGTGTCACAGAGGCCTGAAATCAGACCATGATTCTGTACATCAGGCATAGCATTTAATTTTGTAAGTCTTTGTAGGACTGAGGCATCTGTCTCAAAGGAACTGTCTAACCATTTCTCTGGGATATTCTGTTACATCAAAAAAATGCTAACTCTGCTCCCCAGAAGCATGACTAAATATTTRCCTTTAAAAYATTTTAAAACATGGAGATAGAGAAAAATAAAAATCAGTCAGTAGATACTTAATCTATCATCCTATCTAAATCAATTACCTAACAAGCTGTCAAGCCCAGATTTACAGTGACAAAAGAAAAAATTAACTTGTCTTGAACATTTTTAAGAGTGCAGCATCTTTGCTCAATCACTCCTATGACAGAGAATGATAAAAGTACAAACATAAAATAGTGTTGGCACTGTTATTTTCAAGGGCTTTCWCTGTCTCTTGTGTTTCAATTCCAAACTCTTCACTTGTACTTCTAGTGCAGTTAAAACAAACATAAGACATACCTTGATTGTACTAGTGTGTGCACCAGGATATTCTTTCTCCTCCAGTGTTGACCAACGTTGTATAAATTTGGACACCAGAGGATCATCATAGTCAACTATCTGAAATCCTGAGACATTAGCTCCTCCAAACTGAATTTTTGACAGATCTCCATCAGTAAATCCCTGAGCACAAAAAAATATGTCTGTTATTCAAATAGTTTTGGCAGTTGTCTCAATAGTGTATACAAAGAAAGCATTACCATATGACCTCTACTGCAGAACTGTGAGCCAACATTTTCCTCAGACTGGATCCAACTTAAATCCTGGGCTGCCAAGTTTAAATCATCAGCTGCATCAGCAGCAATGCTTCCTGCTGCCATAGGACAAACACTTTTATAGAGAGCAAAGGCTGAGTAAACCTGTCCTTGCCCTCCCGACTTCCTAAACATCCTGTTAATTTTAGGGGACCACTTAAAGTGAGAAAGAGAACACTGACACGAGGAAGAGGCAAGTAAGTTTTAGCCAGGAATACTTAAAACCACAGTTGTATCCTCTTTTTGTTAGGAACTCTGAAGCACGTGGAAGAACTTACCATCTCCACTGCCTCCTCCCTCTGACATAAAGAACTACTTACCATTCTTACAAACAGCTCTTGTGTTTTGTTCTCTGTGATTTAATAACCACACAAAAGCATTTACACGAAATACTTATTTCAGACACTTCAGTATAAATGGAAGTACACAAAAAGAAGCAGCAACTTCAAGACCACATTATCATACGTTGCTAGAATTACTAYACTAGAGCTCTTTAATTATTGCATATTAATGATCCTAATGTGCTGCTGCCTGCCAATACTGACACTTCTACAGGGTTCATGTAAAGAGAGTTGAACAGCAACACTCATTGTATACTCAAACCTCTTCTCCATCAATTAGCATTTTTTATTCTTAAATAAATCAATTTCTTGACTGATGATCAGATTGGAAGAGAATATTATTACARTCCAAGAAAAAGAAAGCAGGTGGGTTCTGTGAAGATTTGATATGATTCAAGTACTAGATAAATTTTCTTTCTGACAGAGAAAAACACATTTTTGAAATCAATACCATAAACACTTTACATATGATATCAAACAGCTTTAAAACACAAGATTCAGTAGGTTTTAGATCTTATGGACTTAGTATTACAAATTTAAAGCAATGTGAAAATAGCAACCAGCTAASATAAAGAAATCCACTGGGCACATTTTCTAAAATTTCCCTTAAGACTCAAAATACTGTTTATCCAACATTTGCAATGCAAACCACAAACGTCTAACAGTTAGATAATTTTTTACATTTTGTCAGACTTTAATGCTTGTTTTATGAATATCAGCACCTTAACCTCTTTATCCAAAAAGTAACTATTAAGATATAAGAATGAAACCCTAGTGCTCAGCTTTTAAAGAGGCCTTTAAAGCGTAAGGTTTCTTCCCACCATGGCACCCACATGACTCTTCAGAGCACTGCCAGCATGGAGGGGGAAGTGTTTCCTTCAAAGGCTGGGAGGAGACAGGGGTTATGCCTCAAGTGCCAGAGACACACCATGGTGCTTCTGTCTCCTCAGGCTCCTCAAAGGACTATGGAAGACAGTGCAAATTARGGCACTCTGGGCCCTGCTGGAATTCATATCAAACACTATTGCAGTTCCAGAATAAAGGATGAAAAAAATGATTTGGTGACACTCACACCATACAACCCCCAAAATTCTCTTCTTAAACATGGTAACTGAGATACTAGCTGRCAGAATTCGCTTTGTCTATTATAAAAAACCAACTGGATTAGCTTCCCTAATGTCAGTAAAATGATCSTTCACCTTTAGACACAATTTAAAAAAAATTACCTTGACAGGATTTTTTCTGAACTTTGCCCTCAGGAACACTAATAGCCCTACTGTCTGATCACCTATGTTCAAGAAAACATGAATTCAAACTGACTACCCAGCCAATCTGAGAGATGAAATGTGTAAATCCGAGACTCACTAGTMTAGCAGAATGAGAAATAAGAACCGTGATTTTTAAGTAGGTTAAAAGTTGTGAGAGAGAAATTGCTGAATGAATGTATCAGCCTATGATGCAGAAAGTTATTTTTCTAATTTCCATATCCTCTTCTGCTGAAGTACATAGAAAAAGAGAAGTTCTATTGAAGGTGCTGAGCAACCTTTACTCCCATTGATGGGAACATCTTAGGAGGCATTTAAGCCCTGATAAGAGTCAKCAAATATAACAAATACAATCTCAACACATGCATTCATTTAGCAAATATAAAGACATCTAGCTTTTTTTCTGTTTTCTAAAATGTATTTAAAACCAAATACTAGTTGATGTGCTTCCATAAAYAGTAAAATGAGCAATACAGGTATTTTAAATACTAAGAATGCTTACCAGATTTGCAATGATATAGTGGTATCCTTTAACATGTTTACCAATTGTGATAACCTACAAAAAAGCAGAAATAACCCCATAATGAAGAATGTTCACCTGGTACATGGACAAAGCTTGAAAGGTACAAAATGCAGTATGACGTAGAAGATAGTTAAGAGCTTTATGTACAATACTGAATTTATTCAATGCTTTATCCTTTATTTTACCTAATGCACTACTGAACATACTCTTTGCTTGTAGAAATTAGCAACGTTGAAGTCCAAATCCCAAGAGGGAAAGTCCCCACAGACAGAGGAGCCAAATGCTAATTASTAGGCTGTGTACTAAAGGCACAATCCAGCCAGGAGAGAGAGAGAGCAGGCATCATGCATTAGAAAYGCTGTGCCTCACAGACTCCTGCTTGGATTCTGCACACTGACATTAATGAAAAAAATGTGCATTATGAGGAAGCTTTGTAAAGTTCAAATTGTTTATTGCCCTAAGTCTTCCTCATAACCTCCCTCAAAGCCAGCCGGTCATTTCTCAACAGTTTCTGCTGGCAGACATGTAGCATGGATTCATCTCCCAGATAAGCCTAATTAAGGCTATGGCTGCATGGGGAAGTTTGCATTTTGAAGCTAAGCACTTCTCCAGAGGAAGAATGTGGGAGATAAGAGAAGTCTAGAGGTTTATACTCTCTTTCRAACAATGAGAACAACTTAAATGAAGAGAAGATGACTCATTCAYTTCCTCATTTAACATGTAACATATAACTAAAATATTCAGACTAGGTATCCTGAAATTTGTACCAGGGTACTAGTGAACAACATTCCACATACTTGATTTAGTGAAGTTACAGAAATAGAATTTGAAAGCAGTTTTAACACTGAATTTACATTACTAACGTTCGAGACAGACAGGGGTCACATTACACAGGCCAGAGAAGTAATGGAATTGCTCCTCCTCTGAGGTTAATATATATGTTACATGAACCTAAATATGCTAAAACCATTACTTGGATCAGACTACTAAAAAGTACTTATTAAGAGGTTTAAGAACTATGTTCAGATGTATTTCTTATGTAGCTGCTGTTTTCAAAGAAATATCCGTTAGACCAAATAGAATCAGTTAGCTCTTCTGTATGAAATATTTCTTCATCACTGGGATCTGAGAAGACAACCAGTAGATGCAAGCCTTTGGATCAATGCTTGGTAACACTGCTCTAGCAGCTACTGGGTACTATTTCATTAACCCAGCTTGCAAAAACTTGCCACTTATCCATATGAACACTAAGGATTCTGCTTAGTTCAAACTGAGAAAATCCAGCAGTAGTTCCAAAAGTCATGATGAAGGAGCTGCACACAGAAAAGCCATTCAGCAGTTTAGAGGACATTCTCTAGCAGGGACAGATAAATAGTGGCAGTAACTACACAGCTGCCCAAAGGTTGTCATCAGGGTGAAATGAGATTCTGCTAAGGAAGCTGCCTGAGAACAGACAGAAGCTCCTCAAAGAAGAGGAATATAAACTAGTCTGAGGAGAGCTACGGAACTGAAATATTTTTCAACTTACATGAATCATTGAAATCTGGAAGAGAAACTATAGCATGAGACAAAAAACAAATACGATGAAGCAACTTTGCAAACACGTTTTGTGGCTATGCAAAGACCCAAGTGCTAAAAAGCGTAACTGGGTGCACCTGAGGCTGTCACCTCAGCTTAAAGAAATTGCAGGATAAATCAAAGCACTAAAATAAAAATATTTTTCTACAATAGAAAGCAAGGAAGATAGTGAAGAAATTGTTGCTTTCAGTATTGAGAATGCAAGTAATACCTAGGTATTCAAGGAAAATCTTTTTAACGGGAAGCCGGTTGAATTTCTCACAGTAAAACTACACAGAAAAGAAAAGGAATACTGATTTGATGCGTACTTCAGGCACACTTATGAAATGAAGGACATTTCTGAGGGTTTTTTTCCAGGTAGGAATTAAAATAATTTAAAAAAAATCAATCTGGTAGCAAAGAAAGACCTAAAGCACACTGCTATTAGAAAGAAGTCAGAAGAAAAGAAAATCAGAAGACACTCAAAGAATACTCACAGGCAAAGAAATCTACTGTTCAGCAATTAATTTTAAGAGATTAAGAAAATTAATAGAGAATCAGTTAGTTAGACTTTGTTTTAGGCTAGTTGAGTAATTCAAAGTGGGTTTACCTTTAAATGTAAGGAAGGGAAGTTACTGAGTGTAAGACTAATGGACTTACAAAACAGACTAAAGTCCAGAAAAAATGGGGCTATCTTGTGAAGAGAATTCCAAGCCTAAATCCATATGGAACAGCTGAGAACAGTTTAAAAGCACGTATTCCAGGGCATAGGARTAAACTGCTTTGAGAACAAGTAACTAGAATTATATTATCTGACCTGTGAGGCTGATTCGGTTATCTAGAATTCTTCAGTGACTTACAAATCAAAACAGCAGAAACAAAAGCTTAGCCATCTGTATGCTTAAGGAGTAGCACAAGTCTGTGGGGATAAGCTGAGAAACTCTAAGCATCTAAAAAAGGCAGAATCTATCAAAGTGCAATTAGGGCAAGAAAAATATCCCAGAATTGCAATCAAAATAAGATTGCAGAAAAATAAGAAGCAGACAAAGATAAAAATAAGTCTATTATGAAACAAAGACTGTAAAAATGAGTGGTAACTGAAGGGTAAAGAGAATTCATGACTTTAAAAAGTGGTTAAAAGGTGAAACTGAAGAAAATTATAGTCAGCCAAACTTTCATTTCAGAGTTTATAACGGATATTACATACTTATTAATAAAAGAATGTATAGGAAAGTAAGAGAAATGGTCTTGTCAAGATCGAAATATGTCAAAGAAGTATGTTTCCTTTCTCTAGCCTGATAATCAGGAAAAAGCAGATGCAACRGATCTTGACTCTAATAAGGTGTTTGTTCTGTAGGACATCATTAGAAACTCACAAGAGACATGGACAAGATAAAAAGTCACTGCAAAGTAAGTAAAGAACAGTTTGAAAAACCACACAGAACCACAGTAAKTACTGCTTGTGTCAAACATTGCTCTACATTGTAGAGCATTGCTCTACATTTCTTGACACTGGTAAGTCAGAAAATGTGATTTTGAAAAACTGCAGATCATAGGGAAATCACATTCTCAGAGATCAAATGCTCTTGAGAACWGGATCAAATTCAAATTTATCTTGAAAATTAGAGGAACAGTTTGTGGATATGAATTCCAAATAAAACACACAAACACAATGTACTCCTTTAAGGACAATGCTTGTCGTCTGAGCCTCTTCMACACGTAATGACCTTCAAAACAAAGACCAAAATAACAAGCCCTTCAAAAAACCTTCCAACAAACACATCTATACTCTGATGATACATCCCTACTGATTCTGCACAGTCTCACATGATGAAGCTCAAGCCAACAGGGAACGATCCTTCCAATTTTCCATTGTGCTCTGCATGCATGAAAAGAAGTTGCAAGATCCAGAGCCAGTAAGACCTTTCTAGACACTAGGACTGAAATAGTGGATTTCAAAGTAATGCAGTTATTTGAATCAGAGCCCCGTGATAATGTTGCTAAAAAGAAAATTWAAAAAAATAATAATTTTGGCAAATAACTTGCATGGGTGGAGAGAAGACAGATTTTGCTGTTCTTTTTAAAGCTCAGGAGGCCTTAGCTATGAAAACAGCATCCAATTTTGGTTAACACACTTTAAGAGTGACACAAAATGAACAAGAGACAACCAAGGAAAGTACAATTGATGAAGAGCTTCAAAATGTGAATTTCAAAGGGCATTAAAGGAGAAAGAGAAGCTGTGATACAGTCTTTCCAAGACATAAATGGTTCTCAGAAAGAGCATTAGAGGGAGAAAATACCTTCCAGGTGTAAAAAGAACTAATCCTTAGACATAAATACTAATAACAGACTACATATAATACTGTATCAACTATGTATAATACAGTATACTACTTAGATTGTGAAATAGTCTGAACAAGGTATTTTGTAAATTATTGTTTTTATTTTAAATAACCAGGATAGAAAACTATACAGGATCATCCAGACAGAATTATCTTGCCTTTGAGCAAAGGTAGGGATTACAGGATTTGTACGTTCACTTTCTGCCTAGTATATATGTGATCCTCAATACAAACCTGTCACTGCCAAATGATTCATAATAATCAAAAAAATATCACCAAGACAAATGAGCTCATTACATTTACTTTTAGAATACTTCTAACTGCTGACACGGAAGAATGGAGAATAGCAAACCTGATCAACAATGTCGTTGACTTTATCGCGTTCACAGTCCAAAATCACTCGCCTTTCCTTTTTTACCTCCAGATCTTGAAACAGCGAACGGTAAGTTTCATCTTTTCTCTCATTGTTAATATTTCCTACATTGATAGCAGTCACTTGCCATTTCTTTTCAGCAGCAGAATCCAGCACAGCTTGTAATGTTGATAAGCCTAGTGAAGCACAGGGGAAAATAGAAGATATGACTGACAAAGCTTCAGGAATTAACACGGTCCTACAATGTGACTTGTGAGATAACTTATTTAAGATCTCCTGTAACTTGTTTGACCTGTCACACCTAGGCAGAAGTCAGAAACTAAGATATTTGTGGGCCTAATCCATTATTATTGCATGAAATTTATATTTACATCACTGCAAGGCGTCAAGGCAAAGCTTTGCAAGGATAACCTTTTTCAGAATTGGATTTTGCTGGTATCACTGATCCACTGCTGGAATTCCACATGGTGGGAAAGAGATCTTCTAGGAAGATCCAATGACAGCAAGAGGATCAGCTTATTAATAAATGCTATTGAACAGCTTTAGTTCCCAATGCTTGAGCAGTACTGTATGTAAAGCCAGACCCTGCTGAAGTCTATGACAGAATTCCAATGTTCTGCAGTGATGGTAATGCATTTATTATTTCTGTTGCCTACAGGCATATCCCTGATTATGAAAGATGTGCTGAGATATATTTTTCCATATAGACAGATAAGCAGGCTCAACCCTAACGCCTATAAGCAGTGTAGAGAAGTTTGCCTCCATCTTATACTTTTGGCATGTTCCTGATAGGAAGCTGGAATGYTTGTACAGATGCAATTGCCTACAATATACTGTAAAACCAGTGAAGATTTTACTTGACAGATTTTACTTTTCAAGGATTAAATAATGTAGTACAGAAACATGAAAATGACTGCTGGAAATTAATTCCTTCTATACAAAAAGTACAATTTTAATGATTTGCAGCAGTACAAGAATGAGACTTATCATGTTTCACTTCCTACCAGAGAGTTCTACATGATTCTAGAAAGTACTTCTAAGGCTACCAGACACTATAAAAGGAAAAAAAATTAAGACTTTCTTAGGATCAAATTGACATTTTTGCACATTCTTCTTTCCCAAAACCACCAAACATCAGAAATAATTTCTTTGAGACAAATTCTCACTTGATATGTAAAGGGAGCTTCAGATATAATTCTCATGAGAAATAATTGTGGTTATGCCCACAAACATAGAAGGAAAACACTAAGAATCAATTTGTCTCACAGTTTGYAAGTATAATATTAAATTAAGACTGGACAGTGTTTAGCAATTCAGCTTCATCAGTGAAAATAGTAATGACAAGTTACAGCACTATACAAGACTGGTCATCAACAAAGGTAGAAAATGGCAGGCTTCCAAATGCATAAAATTGAATCTCATATAATTCAGATTTTCCAAGTCTCTTCCAGTCAAGAAAGACTGATACTAAATTTTGTATGTCATGTAATGAATATTTATTTTTAAATCACAGACAACTATAGCCTACCRGCACATATAAACTATTTCAAATGCTAAAGAGAAATTTGGAGAACTTGTGTTAAAAGGGAAAGATAAGTAATGAAAGCAAACTAAGAGACACAYATTTTTTAATATCTTAAAAAATTAAAAATTACCAAAGTATGTTTATACCTCCAAATACTGTTTGAAATTATAAAACTAAAAAAAAAGAAAAATCAGCCAAACTGTAAAGTGTTTAACCTGAATCATTGCTCCAARTCTCATTTAGCAGATTTCAGGTTCTCCAACCTGTCTATATTTTCTCTGAGYTAAACTATCACAATTAGGCACAAATTAATAAGGACTATTAATGGTAATACTATTCATTGCAAAGGGTTTCTATATTTTATTCTTCGGATCTATTTTTCCTAGGGTTTCTCTTTCCTTGGGATGCTCTCTGCAGAGATGTCAAATGGCTGCCTGGATTGCTTACTTTTTTTTGGGTGGCAGCTTAGTTTATTCTGATAACACATTGCAAAATAACAAAAAAAAACAAACCCAAAAAAACCAACAAAAACTATAAACCAAGCAAAAACCAATGAAACAGAAAGCATTCACAGCAATACTTCAGTAAAAGTGAAATTATYTGGAGAGTAGTAACAAAAGTGGAAGACTTTGAAGACAAGAAAACTCCAGCAACTTCAGTTGCTTGTTTTTAAGTTGCAGGAACATTTCTCCTTGTCAGCCTCAWGTGCCTGAACCTCTTTTGGTTATCATGACACAAATTCTTCATTCAGTGAGCTCTGAAAAGGCAAACTGAACAGAGGCTGAATAACTTAGCAATTCTTTTACAGACAGAATCTTACAATAATGTTACTACTTTTTAAAAAACTCACTGTTAATAATGGCAGCACAGCGGAGGTAAGGATGGTGAAGGACACTAATCCCCATTACATGAGAATAACTACTTTATTAAAAAGGTAATAGCTTTGGCACGCATATACTGAATGGCCTCACTCCTTACAGTCAGGAAATTGCCCTGTGCTTCAGCCAGTCAGTCCCTAACCACAGAGGTGCTCTAAGACTAGCAATAAATGATTCTTTAGGAATAAGTCATCAAACTAATTCCTATTAGCCTTCATAATTTCTGCGAAGAGTAAGTCTCTCTTGCCTTTTTTATCTTTCTCTTGAAGGTGGAAACATCTTCAATTATATATCATTCCTTAAATATACCTCACTAATTCAACAGTTAGGCAAAAATGCTTAAAGGATCTGTGGCCTTGTGCACTCAGTGTTTGATGTCAATGCTGCTGGCTACAAACTGCTCAACTGTGCAGATTGACCTCATGCAATCTGTGGGGAGCACTGAGGAGCAACGATTTACCCCACATAAGGATAGGAGCTTCATGCCTTGGAGCTTGTTATCACTGGGGTGCCTTGCCACAATTAAAACAAACAGATAAGAAAAAAATGAAGAACCAAAGGGTGACYGGAAAGAATAATCTCATGCTGTTATTCCTGGCCAGATCCAGACAGTGCATCTCACAAGAACTAGGTGTTTTTCAGTATCTCCTAAATATAAATCACATGCAGGTCACATTCTGCCCACTGCTAGATGACTGACAGAGTACTGGCTAAGAAAGTAGCTTTACATCTGTCCTTTCTAAAAAGACAGTGAATGTTTCTGACTCTAATGTGAATTTGAAAAGGAACTGCCAGAGAAATGAACTTAGCATGTATTGTTCCATGTGACATTACCTTTGGAGGCTACACAGGATTAGCTCTTCTAACTTTAGTGCTTATGACAATGATAAAGAACTCTCTTGAGGAGATCCCTTCAGCCTTTGAACATCATGTATAAAATGGCATAATAATGTAAGAAATTTAATGTCACCCCATTACTCAACAAACCATGGAGTGGTGTAACCATGCTTTATACCTATTAGCAGTTTATAATTTAAAATGCACTTAATAAATAACTCTGACCAATGAACATACAAGCAAGCAACAAAATAGCATTTAAACATTTTTAAAGGGAACAGRAGCAGGTAAAAATAGAAGAAAGTTAGCCAAGAATTACTAGGTGAGGAGGACCTGAAAATGGAATGATAATAATGGAATTCCAGAAGAAGCAGTCAAAAAAGCCTACCCTTTCTGGACAAATCTGCTTCTTCTCAGAAAGCTAACTGATATACCACAATCTGCCAGTGTTTTTTTCAAGTTCATAAACTGTTATATTATTACTACTACAGTCATAAAAGGGCATAGGACTTGAGAAGGCTATATGGTGGAGTTAATTGATCCTAAGCAATGGGCTTGGGTTTATCAACATCAACAATAAAACCTAAACTCAACAGAAGAGAGGAACTTGATACCAAAACCGGTCTCCAAAGAAGTAGGGACTGACTGCATCCAAGACTGTTGCATGCTTGGTGCCCAACCACTGCTTTTGGATGTGTGGAGTGAATCTGTGGTGCCAGATAGCCCATTATGCTTTGATTTTTTTTTTCTCCTTGGATGTTTCTTTAACAAAAGAATTTTACATACAAACTGTATTAGAGCAACTAACCTCACTTTGCTTAACAGTTGCAATTCTATTATGCATACCATAATAATTTCATTCTCATTTAAACATTTTTGTTTCTGTCCCAAAAGCTCATTTCTAAATTCAAGAAACACTTGATTCAATTACACTTACACTTGTTGGAGGTAAATATTTCTTTAGTTATTTACTTATCTAATACGAATTCCAGATTTCAGTGAGATACATTTGACAATCAGGGTGCAGATAAAAAGTACCACACCTTACCTCTGTCACTGTCATACAAATATGCAAACTTGGTCCACTGATAGTATTCAATCAAGCTAAGAAGAGCTCCCTTGAGGTCAGGTCTCATCTGAATGACAAAGGGATGTGTTCCATCTGTTGGGAAGCTGGGAGTAATGAAGGAGACATGAAGAGTCCCACAGAATGATGTTATAGTATTTACAGACTTCTTGTCATAGAATCCAAAAATAGCAAAGACTCCTCTTGAAAACTGGGAGCAGACTAGGAAGAAGAGAGACAGACAATTAGGGGAAGAATTTAAAAAAAAAAAGTATTGAAAACTCTTTAATGTATATATTTATGAGAAATGTATGTCTGAAAAGTGTCTGATCACATAAATATCAGGCAAAAATAAATAGTCTGCTATGAAAATAATTTTTATCATTATTAAATAGTAATAGAAAACTTACATTAGAAAAAACAACAAAAAGAAAATATCATATATGTGGTTCACACTCCCAGACAACTTCAGAAATAAAACTCGCCAACTTAAATTATTTTTATGTTGTAAAGAATAGTGATGCAGACATCAGTGGCAATTGCAATTCAAAAAATGAGACATTATGACCACACACAGCATTATGGAAATAGGTAATGTTTTGTAATGTTAAAAATAAWCTGGCTTTGAGGTCAAGACTCGCTGAGCTTTTTGCAAAATACTTTAAATAACTTTCCATTTGTGGAAAATAAAGCCAAAACTAAACCCAAATCTATCAAGAGCAGTAAGAAGTCCACTTGCTTTAGAACCCTGCTGTATCAAAGCATAATTTTAATTCCTGCTTTGTGGGACTCAGCAAAAGCTGGTCCTTCTGGATGACACTTGCTGTCATGCGGCAGGAAGAATAACCTCATAGGTGTAAATAACCTGCTGATCATTCACTTTTTGTCAGGGGGACAAGTCACAGTTGATGAATGCGACTGACCACTGCAGCCTGTGCAAAAGAGCTGGTTCTGGGGTATTCCTTTCGTTAAGATTGCAGGGTATACTCGTGCCTRAGTTCTAAACCCAGGGTACAGTAAGGAAAGATTCATCTCTGATTAATTCACACTTATCACTTATGCATTCRTTGGTTTGCAGAGTCACCTTGAACAAGACACATCCTTCTAGAGACACCTGACCTGCTTATAGATAGAAATCACAGTGTAATTGATGCTAATTTTGCCCAGCCATTTAGTGCACTAATCCTTGAATATAACTCATATAAGGGCAAAACCAAGTTGATATATCTTCGAATTCCTTAGATTTGAATTAATACAATATTTTTATCTGTCAAAATTACTGTATCTTTATTCTTTATTTTTAAAATAATATTTATTTTAAAACTAATCCCTTTATGCCTGTTACTGCTTATTGCTATTCCCTTTTCATGGCTTTGCCCATGTATCTTTGCTACCAGTCATCTCTCACGCCCTAATTATTCCTACACTCCAATTAAAAGCACCTAAACAGTATGAGTGAAATTCTGAGTCTGCCAGTTTTAAGTTTTCACCTATTAACTTTAATAAGGTCAGAATTTCGCCTCAGGTGAGAAAATACAAGCGATTAAAAACTTGATGAGTAACACCTCTTTATAAAAGGATGCTGCAGGTTTTCCAGGGGTAGAGTACAAGATGGTCAAACTATTTCTGTTCCAACTGAAAATCATTACACAATCACAGAATTGTTTTGAGTGGAAAAGACCTTTAAGATCAGAGTCCAACCATTAACCTGGCACTGTCAAGTCYACCRCAAGTCCACATGTCTCCAAGTGCCACATCTCAACATCTTTTAAAGACATCCAGGGATAGTTACTCAACAGCTTCCCTCAGGTAATTATTCCAATGCCTCCCAACCCCTCCCATGAAGAAATTTTTCCTATTATCCAGCCTAAATGTCCCCCATCCAAATTTGAGGCAAATTCCTTTTCTACTGCTTGTTACCTGGRAAGAAAGAACAACTTCCACATTGCTACACCCTCCTTCTAGGCAGCTGTAGAGTGCAGAAAAGTCTCCCCTGAGCCTCCATTTCTGCAGGCTAAATAYCTCCAGCTCCCTCAGTTGCTCTTCACAGAACTTGYGCTCCAGCCCCTTCTCCAGCTTTTTTCTTTATGGAAGCAGTTTTGCTGCAGAGGGTAGGCCAACCTCAACAGCACTTCCAYGCTGGATGAACCATCATCCTTGTTATCRCTCAGCTGYACTTGCAGAGCCTCATASCTGCYCTGGGAGGGCACCTGGCAAGGTGGYGAATCCCAGAGGAGACACACCAGATATATCAGGCAGGAACCCACCACCATTGTCCCCTATCCCTTAAGTCACTGTGTGCGCACCCAGGCAGACAGAGGAAGGGAAGCCCCTGTATCACATTTTTGGTCTGGCTGTCCAGCCTGGCTCAGGGAAAGGGTACAATACCATCAGTCTCTCACTCTCTCTGCCTCTCCTCAACCCACTGACCTCCTGAAACTGTCCCTGAGCAGAGCAGTTCCCCTACCAGGCACACCCCCCACAGGAGCACTCACTGCTGCTGGTCAGTACTGGAAAGGGCAATCTCCACTCTCCAGCCCCACACCCGTGTGCCAGCATGTTCCTATCAGAGCCCTGCCTGGGCAGYTGTGTCATGTTGAACAACCATTTCTGAAAAAGGCTGTGAATTTTCTAAATAGCTTTACTGTTTAAGTTACTGGAACTCCTTGTTCTATTCCACATCATTATGCTCTCGCTGAGGCAAAACCAACTCACTACCTCCCCACACACTCATGAATAATTGTTTCCCATGTGCAGTGAAGGCTAAATACTGTCTGAACTTGCTACAATAAAGGCATTAATGCCTCATAACTCACCTTCAAAAATGCACATTAATAGAGCATCAGTTTACTTTTTTTACATTCCTAGATGAGAATCTTGCAGAAGACTGTTCCTAGTACACTACTGTTACCTTCTGTACTAAACCGTTTGAATGCAGAGACAAGAACAGTGTCATCAAAGGATCACTGAAAAATAAAAATGTTTTATGTCACGACTGCCAACACCTAGGATGCTGCCACTTCTCCTGTCACACTGCTTTTCTTCCATCACTAGCCAGTGATCTTAGGCACAGCTGAAATACAATAGCYAACAACCAGAAAATTTGAAAACCGTAGGTGATGCCTGACTCATGAGTTTTCTCACTTCTGCTCTTCCTATCTTCTCTTCTGTACACTGGGGACAGAGGGGACAGTGAGTGGCTGTGTGAGTGTTTTACAGCTGGTAGGGTTTAACCCATGACAAGGAAAAAGATGTTATTCCACCTTCCACCCACAGGACAGACCTGTTTATACCCCTGACCCGTGCTCCACTCTTCAGCAGCACAAACATGCACCTCTTCAGAAGACAACTGCTGCTCTTTCAAACTGAACATCCTCCCTGACAAGGCACAAACTCATACCACCTCTCATCACAACTTACTTATATACAACACTCTTGGATTAACACMGTGAACAACTTTCCATTTAATAACCTTTACACCTGATAAATCATCAGTCCTCAYATACATGTGTCTTCTTCTGGAGAAGGTTGGTGAAACTGGAATTTTGATCTCCTCTCTTGCACTAAGTGAAAGACAAGTAAAAAGTACCACCTCCAGCTGGGAATGTCAACTCACTGCAGTTCTAAGTACCTAGAGGAGATGCAGTTTAAAAGCTGAATTATACACACACACACACACACACACACACACACACACACACACACACACACACAAACACATGTAAGCAATCACAACAAATAATATGGGCAAAGCAAAAACATTTTAAATTTTAAAAATTACTATGAAACCTGCTAAACAGATATAACATCTCATTTAATTCAACCAGGGCTCCTTTAGTGTGAGATAGAATCACTCTAACACAAATCTTCAAGTATGGACATAACATCCAAGTCAGCCAGAAAAATCAGGATCAACTACAATCCAGGTAAAAACAAATTTTCATCAGCAGTTATCAAGTTATCAGTGTCACAGTGGCACACTAAAGAACCTCAGTGTTGTGCTTTTCTGTGTGAAATTCCGCTAAAGGTAAGTGGGCAGGCACCTATGCCACATAATAAAAACGGGCTACAAATGAATGTTTAGACTTTACACTAAAAATCCTTGCAAATTTTCTGGGKTTTTTTGTCTTTTTGATGCAGAAGGGGAAAGATGGGATGGCATTTCCAAATATAATGGTAATCCAGGGGACAATGTAGAAACTGCAATTGTTTTTGGCAGGATTCCTATCTTAGACTAACTCTACAATCATGTTGCTATTGCTGGAAGATGTAAGTTTTATAATGGTGAATCACAAACTGTTCACAATTATTAGAGTAAAAAAAAAGTCATGATGATTAGGACTCATAAGCCATTTGAAACAGGAAAGATCTATTTCATTAATGACATTAGAACCAACTTGCAGGATTTATTTCTTTCAAGCTCTCCTTTATGAATTGGGATTTTTTTTTGTGTTTAGGGGGTCCTTTCTAGAAATAGTCTATGGCTTACTTAGCAACAAGAGGGGAAGAACATATGCTCATTTTGCGACCACTTTTGTAGAGAGATTCTCCTAGAATGGCAAATAACTGTGAATTCCAAGAAACAGGGTAAATAAAGATTCTGAGAAGGAACAATTACCAGAAGGTTTTGTTATAGTTAAGATTTAGGTATTTTRTATTTGACTTCTTGTTCTTCTAAAAACATAGCTAGGCATGAACCTGGTTTGCCTTTATTTTCCAGAGCACTGAAAATGTGTCCTAGACTTTTATTCCAAAAGCTAGGGGCCAGATTTGTTCAACAACAAAATTAAGCTTAAGCCTGCAATGAGAAATTGTCAAAGGACAGCCAAAACTTGCTTGCTACATTATTAACTCTTCCATTGTTTATTACATCTGCTTCTTCTCAGAAAGCCTTTTTACCACAATGCATTCATACTTTCTTTCTCACTTTCCCTCCATTTCACTATTCTGTTTTGTCAATGAACTCTATAAGCAGGATAACCTGATATTTACCATGGTGGTCATAACTGGTTCTTCAGAAAAAAAATACAGCAATATACACTTTTTGCCTCTCATGACACAGACCATACTTCTGTGATGCATTTCATCCTAAACCCAAAGCTCGAGCACCAACCCAAAGTTGGTGCTCAAGAAGCACCAACTAAAGAGTACAATTGCAAATTCTAAATATAAAAATACACAAATATGCTAAGCTCACAATGAAGTGACTTCAGTTGAGGAAT